ATTTTTGGGGTGATTTTGAAGCTAAATGGGTTAGGGTATTTATAGTTGAAGCTTAAGGACTAATCTTATAAATACCCTAAAGTGCAATGACTAAAATGCACTTATGCCTTTTACCATTTTTTCAACAAAAATTAAATGCACCATTCGGTGCCTAACTTGCCACTTTCGGTGGCCACCCATTGTTGACTTTCCAACAATCTCCCACTTGAAGACTAATTTTAATCTTTCTTCACACATTGATCAATGCAGCAACATTTCTAGTCTTGTTATTCTAGCATGCCAACTGAAGCTGAACACAACTTCAGTTTGTCTGTGGTCACCGTCTTTGTCAACATGTATGCTGGATTTTGAGCTCCACTAATCTTTTCAAGCTTCAAAATCCCATCTTCCAGAAGAGACCGGATAAAATGATATCTCAATTGTATGTGCTTCGTCCTGTAATGAAAAGACGGATTCTTTGCTAGATGAATAGCACTTTGACTGTCGCAATACAAGACATTGTTTTCTTGTTTCTTGCCTAACTCTTCCAAGAAACTTTGGAGCCAAACCATCTCCTTGCTAGCTTCTGTAACAGCGACATATTCTGCTTCAGTTGTGGAGAGAGCAACTATCTTCTGTAGTTGAGAAACCCAACTCACTGCGGTTCCTCCTAGAGTATAGACATACCATGTAGTGCTCATTCTGATGTCAACATTTTCGGCTAAGTCAGCATCTACATAGCCTGTCAGTATCATATCTCCACCTTTGAAACAAAGTGCTTTGTTTGTGGTACCCTGCAGATATCTGAGGATCCATTTGACTGCTTCTCAGTGTACCTTGCCTGGATTATTCATGTACCAGCTAACAGCTCCCACTGCATGAGCAATATCTGGTCTGGTACAAACAATGTCATACATCAGACTTCCAATTGCTGAGGCATACGGCACCTTCTGCATGTGTGCACGTTCTTCCTTCGTCTTTGGTGACTGTTCTTTGGAGAGTCTAAAATGAACACCTAAAGGTGTACTTGCTGGTTTAGCATCTTGCATGTTGAACCTGGAGAGTACTTTGTTGATGTACTCAGCCTGTGATAACATCAAAGTCCCCGACTTTGTGTCTCTCTTAATCCTCATCCCAAGAATCTGCTTCATAGCGCCCAGATCCTTCATAGAAAACTGCTTCAACAATTTTTGCTTCAAGTTTATAATCTCTTGCATGTCTGAGCCTGCAACGAGCATGTCATCAACGTACAACAATAAAATAATGAAGCTATTGTCGAACCTCTTGATGTAGCAACAATGATCTGCTTGGCATCTGGTAAAAGCACTACTACTCATGAAACTATCAAACTTCTTGTACCACTTTCTAGGAGCTTGTTTTAAACCATACAAGCTCTTCTTCAACCTGCATACCAGGTTTTTCTTGCCTGCCTCTATGAAGCCTTCTGGCTACCTCATATAGATTTCTTCCTCCAAATCACCATGAAGGAAAGCTGTCTTTACATCTAACTGCTCAAGATGTAAATTCTCTGCAGCTACAATTTTCAACACCAGTCTGATTGTAGACAGTTTTACGACTAGAGAGAAAATTTCATTGTAGTCAATACATTCTTTTTACTGAAAACCTTTAACAACCAATCTTTCTTTGTAGCGTTTAATCCCATCGTGCTCTTCTTTGATCCTGTAAATCCACTTTTTATGGAGTGCTTTCTTGCCTGGTGGTAATTCAGCTAATTCTCACGTCTGATTTGACATAAGCGAGTCTATCTCATCTTTCATGGAAGACTCCCACTTGACTGAATCCTCCACTTTATTTGTTTCATCATAGCACTCTCGTTCACCATTGTCAGTTAGCAACAAGTAGTGCAAAGAAGGAGAATACCGTTGGGTTGGTTTAGGAATTCTGGAGGAGCGTCTCAGTTCTGGTGTGCCTGGTTCTTCTTGAACTGCTTCAGGATTGATCTGAACATCATTTCTAGAAATCTCCTCGAACTCAATAAATTCTTTTGTTTCAGCTTCGGTATTGGAGCTACTTGATTCTACAGTTGACATCTCTTTGTACATCATATTCTCATTGAAAATGATTTATCTGCTTCTGATGATTTTTCGATTTTCGTAGTCCCAAAATCGATAACCGAACTCATCACCACCATAACCAACAAAGACGTATTTGTTGGACTTGGAATCAAGTTTACTTCTTTCAGTAGAATCTATGTGTACATAAGAAATACAACCAAACACTCTTAAGTGTGAAAGGTTTATTTCTTTCTTGCTCCAAACTTCCTCTGGTATTCTGTCATCCAAAGGAACTGAAGGCCCACGGTTAATCAAGTAAACTGCAGTGTTGATAGCTTCAGCCCATAGAAATTTGGGCAATCCGGCATGTATCCTCATGCTTCTGGCACGTTCATTCAGAGTTCTATTCATGCGCTCTACTACGCCATTCTGTTGCGGTGTCATGGGAATTATTGTCTCCATCTTGATCCCATTGTTTGCGCAGAAATCTCTGAATCTTCTATTTTTGTACTCTCCTCTATTATCAGACCTCAACCGCTTGACTTTCAAACCAGTCTCATTTTCCACCATGGCTTTCCATTTTCTGAAAGTATCAAAGACTTCTGATTTCTTCTTCAGAAAATAAACCCACACCTTCCTCGTAGAATCATCGATGAAGGTGACATAATATAATGAGCCTGTAAGAGATGAAATTGGAGATGGTCCCCATACATCAGTATGAACCAACTCTAACTTTTCAGCCTTGGGTGTCTTGCCAATCTTTGCAAAACTCACTTTCTTTTGTTTGCCAAAGATGCAATCCTCGCATAGTCCGACATCTACACTCTTTAGATCCGGTAACTTCCCTTTTAACAAAAGTGTCTTCATCCCTTTCTCGCTCATATGACCAAGCCTTTGGTGCCATAGGTTTGATTTTCCATCAGCATCCGCTGCAGCAATGATATTCTCTAAATTTGATGTTACATAGAGAGTATCAGTCTTCTTACCACGAGCAATGACGAGTGCTCCTTTGGTAATCTTCCATTCACAGCCTGAAAAGGTTGTGCTATATCCTTCTCCATCAAGCTGTCCTACATAAATCAAATTTCTTTTGAGGCCAGGAATATGTCTCACTCCCTTCAGCGTCCAGGTGGTCTGTTTTGGCAACTTTAATCGGATGTCTCCTTTTCGGACGATCTTCAAGGTTTCATCATCAGCTAGATGAACCCTCCCAAAATCACCACTGACATAGTTCTCCATGATTTCTTGGCATGGGGTGGAGTGTAAAGGTGCCCCTGAATCCAAGATCCATGATTCAATCGGACTGTTGACGCTTAGAATCATGGCATCACCTGTCTCCTCTGCCATGTTGGCAGAATCCTGTGCGCCGGTATCTTTCTTCAGTGCTCGACAATCTCTTTTAAAGTGACCCTTCTTGCCACAATTATAACCGGTAAAATCTTTCTTTCCCGTATGGATTTTGATTTGCCACGATTTGAATTTCTTTCTGAAATTCTCCCTCTAGACTCCGTGTGCAAGGCTGAGGAGGTTGATGATTCACCTGATTCTCCTCGTCGAATTTCTTCACTCAATACCAGATCCCGAATATCGTCGAATTTTAATTTGTTGTTTCCGAACAAGCTATTGACTGCTGTAACAGTAGCATTCCAACTGTCTGGTAGAGATGATAAGAGAATTAAATCTCAAACTTCATCATCGAATTCAATTTCCACTTAACTCAACTGGGTTGTGATTGTGTTGAGTTTATTTAGGTGTTGTGTCACCGATGCCCCTTCTGCCATCCGCAAATTGAATAATCGCCTTATCAAATGAACTTAGTTTGAGGCCGATGACTTCTCATACATACTGGAGAGAGCCACCATAACACCCACCGTGGTCTTTTCCTTTGTTATGTTGAAAGCATCATTTCGGGACAACGTCAGCCGGATAACTCCGAGGGCTTATCTGTCGAGAAGAACCCAATCTTGATTCTTCATGCCCTCTGGTTGCTTTCCTGAGAGTGGTTGATATAGATTTTTCTGGTACAGAAAATCTTCAATTTGCATCTTCCAAAAGCCAAAGTCCGCACCATCGAACTTTTCAATTTTCACATTCCCTTCGTCTACGGCCAGCGCTCCCACTCGAATCTGGCTTCGTTTGGATCGTTTTTGACAATTCTTGCGAACCACCGTGTATTAGAACACCTCCGTCGATAAATTCGTATCGCCGACAAAATTTCACTATTCACGAAATTCACTATTCATGTGAATAGTAATGAATAGTAACCTCGCAAAAAATTGACAAAATTCACAACCAAAAGCTCTGATTACCAGTTGTTGGGAAATAAACGAGTAACAAGTAATTTTCCTATAACCAGATTAGTGAGAATGCGAAATAAAAACGGAAAAATAATACCCGAAAAATTGATAACGAAGTTCAGCCAATTGTGCCTACGTCTCCGAACTGCTGCAGATATTTTATTGAGAGAGAAAATTTACATGTGTTTACAAAACACTCACTACTCACAAGAAAGCTCTCTAGTATTAGGAGAAAGAAATGATTTTTGGGATGATTTTGAAGCTAAATGGGTTAGGGTATTTATAGTTGAAGCTTAAGAACTAATCTTGTAAATACCCTAAAGTGTAATGACTAAAATGCACTTATGCCTTTTACTATTTTTTCAACAAAAATTAAATGCACCATTCGATGCCTAACTTGCCACTTTCGGTGGCCACCCATTGCTGACTTTCCAACAGAAAAATGGGTTATAGTAGGTAGAAACTGTAGCAAAGATGGATTATCCCTGAAAATTTTAAATTATTATATATTTTAAAAAAATATAATTTTTATTCATAATTTATTTTTATCGTCTTAAGTTTTAAAAAATTCACGCATAATATAAATTCTTGCGTCGGTGAGGAAACAAATTTAAGTTGTTGGCGTAACTGGAACCAAACCTAGTAAAAACAATACATCCTTAAATAATGAAAAGCTGAAAAAGGACGAGTAAGCATAAATGGTGTTTTGTTTTCCACATTAGAAAGGAATGGAACAGATTCAATTGTCATCCAAGAAATTATACAAAGCAAGAGGATCCTTCTTGGATTTGCGCAAGCTGAGCATTGTCTTGAAAAGACGTTTGCTTTTGGTAGAATATTGTTCCACATCCCTTTCACCCACCGTTGACATCGAAACCGTTCTTCGAGGCTCCGACGGGTACTGTTCAATTCAAACAAAAATTATGCTTTACATTCTAAATTGTGATGCATGTACATTGGAGTTATTTCAGTAATTGTCCCCAAAGTTTCGTACCCTTCTTATAGGAATAATAGGAGAGATGGATCTAGACAGAGGAGAAGCGGTTCGTGAGAGTGGAAAGCGTCGAGGCGAGGTTGATCGGTTATCTGATTTCAGAATTAACCAATAATTGTAGAATTACTAATAAAAAAGTACATGGGGAATTTCAAAACCAGGTTTAATCCATTTACCTACTAGTGTCTGCTTCATTGAAACGCTGCTCAACAACTGGGGCCGTTGTCTTGGTACAGGTCGTGGAGACCGCAACATCAACAATCCATCACTGCATTAGGATTGTAAATGGCTGCTGTTTGGAACATAAATAAAGGGTGAACTACATATTTAGTACTCTAACTATCACTATTGTTCTATTTTAGTCACCATACTATTTGTTTTTCAAATTCATACCTAATGTTACGTTTTGGTTTCATTTTGGTTTAATACAACTGTCGATGTGTCATTTTTTGTTTTTTCAATGATGACATGATATTTCCTTATAGTGACATGACATTTTCTTATAGTGACATGCCAACATAACTGTTAATTTTTTAAAGAAATGTGACTAAAATGAAATCAAAATTAAACATTAGGTATGATTTAGAAAAAAGATAATTGAGTGACTAAAGAATAATAAAAGTGATAATTGAGATACTAAATGTATAGTTTCCCCTTGAGAAGAATATTGTTACAAGTAGATTTCAAGATTACCCGATACACTCAGAATGGGTGTATTTAGGTTTTGCTTGAATACCTGAAAATATGACTTGACAACAAAACCTCGTCAGATATGTCCTTGGAATTGGTGTTAATCGGTCTATTATACTTCAATTTGAGATTTAGTCAAATAATTTTAATTTAATCTTTTACTTTTATTATATCATTAGGTAATTTGAATAACTAACCATATTAATTATTCCGTTTAAATATTGGTGTTGATTTTTTATACTTTTCCGCGGTTACCCAATGAGTTAGAATGGATGCCTATAAAAAATAAGGGTTGAGTATACATTTAGGTGGTGTTTGTTTTGCAGAGGTAAAATGCATGCAGTCTGCGGACCACATCTGCAGGCATCTGCAGCAAAAGAGGTGGACCAAAAGTCTGCAGTCTGCAAGAAGAAAACTATTTATTTTTTAACGTCTGCAGACTGCTAAAATAAACTAAAATATAAATAAACTGATTTTTTAAACTATACTCAAATAACCATTTTTGCTATTAATTTTTTAAAATTATAAAATGTCATTAAATTTAATGAATTATTACAAAATAGTCACTATAATGTTGTAATAAATTATAAAAGTTCGACAATATAATAATTATTTTATAGTATTTAGATAAATTTATTAATAATTTATAATCTTTTAATAAATTTAATAAGTATTTTATAATTTTTTAAACTTTATTGACGAAAAAGTTTAAAAAATTATACTTTATTTGAAAAATATATTAAATAAATATTATACAAATTTTATTATTATAAATTATTACATCTACAGACTATTAGATTTTGGTTTTAATATTATATATCATTTTAAAAATTATTATTAAATCAATCGATGATGAAATCAATTTGATTTTAATTCAATCTGTTTGTTTCGGTTTAAGTAATTGTTAAAAAAATTATATTTTAATTCTCAATTATTATCAATTCACAAATATATCAATACTTGATTTTATAATATCATTTAAATCATCTTAATTTATTTGAGTGGTACAATCCGATTCTAGTAACATCAAAAAATATATATAATATATACTCCACATAATATACATCAAATAGTATTTTTCTATTTAGAAAAAATATTTATTTGTTTTTTTATTTATTTATTATGTATAAAGGGACTTTCGTACTTTACCAGAATTAAATGATAAGAATAAGATTTTTCAATACTGTAAATATTTTTTATTAAAACATTTATATTTTGTCTTTTAATGCTAATAATTATATGTCCCCGTGATTTTCTAAGTTTTTATATAAAAAAAAAGTTTACTAAGTTTAATATATTTTTTCAAATAAAGTATATTAGATATCGTTGAGTTATTTACAAATGATAATTTTCGTCAATAAAGTTTAAAAATTATAAAATACTTATTAAATTTATTAAAATATTATAAAATTATTAAAAATTTATTTAAATACTATAAATAATTATTATATTATCGAACTTTTATAATTATTACAACATTATAGTGGCTATTTGTAATAATTCATTAAATTTAATGACATTTTATAATTTTTAAAAAATTAATACCAAAAATGGTTCTTTGAAGAGGTTAGAAGAGCTTTGAAGACATAAGTCCACGTCTGCGTCAAGAAGAGGACGCGCAGACGTTAGAAGAGCTTATGTCTTCTAAAAAACAAACGGTCTGCAAAGCCCAATGTCTGCGCGTGGTCTGCGCGGCATAGACATAAGAGCTTTGAAGACTTTAAACAGTGAAAACAAACACCACCTTAGTACCTCAATTATCACTTTTTGTTATGTTTTGGTAATTTATTTTTTAATTATACTTAATATTTAGTTTTGTTTCATTTTGGTCGCTTGCAGTTAGAAAATTAACAACGATACTCACATATCATCATAAAGTAATGTCACATCATCATTAAAAAATAAAAATGTCACATTACCAATTTGGTTAATTCTTTAAGGTGGGTGACCAAAATGAAATCAAAACATAATATTAATTATGATTTAAAAAAATAGTTGAGTGACCAAAATGGATCAAAAGTAATAATTAGGGTACTAAATATGTAGTTTACGCAAAAATAAATGCATTAATAGAAATATTTAATAGTATGTCATTTTAACTAACTAATGAATAATATTATAAAAAATCAAATTATAATAATTTAAAGAATGGGAAATATATTGTGATTTTATAAATAGTAAAGGGACCGAAACAGCATGAAGAAATTATACCAATGTTCTTAAATCGTTGCAAGTCTAATGGAGCGAACATGCTGGTATTGTGGGATTTCAGCCTAGTGTTGGCAACATCATTCAGGGTCTCCTCACCTGCCGCACAAAATATGATTTATCAGATGAAGTAAAATGATAAAATTACTGTTTTGATCTCTATACTAGCCTAAACTTAGGGTTCTGTCTCTACATTTTAATTTAGCATAATTTAGTCTTCTACATTCAAATACAGGAATGAAATTATTTTAAATTAAAGTATATAGATTAAATATTCGGTAAACTACACATTTGGCACCCCAAATATCTCTTTTCTTCCATTTTAGTCACATAACTATTTTGTTTTCAAAATTAGGTAGTTATGTTTGATTTTTTAAATTCACATCAACAATTCTGTAAATTAAAGTATATAGATTAAATATTCGGTAAACTACACATTTGGCACCCCAAATATCTCTTTTCTTCCATTTTAGTCACATAACTATTTTGTTTTCAAAATTAGGTAGTGTTATGTTTTGATTTTTTTAAATTTCACATCAACAATTCTGTTAAGTTTTTAACTGTGAATGACCAAAATGAAACCAAAGTATAACGTTAGGTATAATTTTGAAAAGAAATAATAGTTGGGTGACCAAAACGGAACAAAAGTGATAGTTGAGGTACTAAACTTATAGTTGAGGTACTAAACTTATAGTTGAGGTACTAAACTTATAGTTTACCCATAAATCTTTTATTTGAGCTTAATAGAGGGACGAATGTACAAGTATATGAAGAATAAGCTTTCCTGGGAAGATGTAGTGTTTATGGTGCTTGGGTGCCTCTAACACCATCGACTGCTGAGACAAGCCCCCTAAGTTAACAAAATCTTGGCATGTTTTCGCTCTCTACACCACAAACAATAATGATTTTAGTTCCTTTTGTTCTCAAACATTAAGCAAATGTAAAGTTATGAACCTGTTCCACGCAGCACAAACGAAGCTCCAATCCAGAATATTCAATCATCTTTTCATCCAAGAAGCTGTTAATCTTGAATGCAACAGACCCCAAGTGATCTACAGTATTCACCAGTGCTTTAATGGCGTAGTCTTTCAGAGTCTCCTCCACTCTGCCCTTTGTCAAACATAAATAAGAAAAGGGTTGGATTTAATAATCTCTTTGTTTTTTCAATCGCTTACATTTGTTTCTGCACTTGTTTGGTATATGCCATTTCAAAATACTCCGCAGCAGAATACAGTTGTTTCCTCAGACTCTTCAAATCCTAAAATATGATCATGTGGGTGAAATACTTGTGTGTGATTGTCAATAAAACTGAAAGTTTGGGTAAATTTACCTTCAGATTATCAGAGAAAAGCAAGGTTTGCTTCATGAAGAATTCATCACTGTGGGAAGAGTCTTGTCCCCAACTCATTTTTTCCTTGTACTGAAAATACCAAAAGATTTATTTAAAAAAAATAAAACTCCATATAAAGCCTGACAGACTTTTTTCCTGACTTTCCACTAAAAACAAGAAGAGATAGGAAATGAATAATATTGAAAGCAACATACCGAGAATTCTCTATCTTTTGATGTAGTTTGCAAAGATAACATGAATTCCCTGTAGTTGAGGACAATGTTTTGCTTTTTTTATATTACAGCCAAATGTTGGCCATGTGGTGGTTTGATAACTTTATGTTACTCTATATACAATCAGTTATTCTATCGGAATGAGACACTAAATTTTTTAAACAAAATGAAAAGTTTAAACTTTAGTATTTACGAATGAAATAAATTAAGGTCACTTTCATAATGATTAATAGACCTCTACAAAACTTGATTTAGAGTAATATATCACAATAAATCATATATCAAAAAGTTAAAAAGAAAAGAAAAGATACATTAAGATTGTTGATAAGGAAAAGAAGTAATTAAACAAACTACCTTACCCGAATGAATTTAATTGCATAGATCATGTTAGGTAGATTGGCCTATGAAAAGATTGAATGAGTTTATAGCATTATTAAAGTTACCCTTTGTTTTGGTGACAAAATCTCAACCGTTAACAATGATGGTTTCCAGCACACTCACCTGTCAGATTTAATTTCAACAATGTTCAGCTTATATTAGCCTTGATTTTCATTTGCTCATTATTCAGTGTGATTGTATACTCGAATATTATTATTGCAATTATATATAATATATTTGAATAATTTTTTTTTTAAAGATTGTGACTCAAATTTCATTTAAGTCTTCATCTTAAACATGTTTACAGATATACACATCTATATATTTATAGTGTTTGTAGTGGTATTATGCATTCGAAATTATTTGGTCTAATATTTAATGAGTGCTTTCCTATACTTTTTGGTTGTGCAATAAATAAGAAGCTTGGGGAGTTCAATTTTGTGTCCATTACCAGCCTCCATCCGCCAACACAGAAACTGACAGATTGATAATTGCTTTAAATTTTTTTTGGTTTAGTGAGAAACACATTGGGAGCAGACTGATCTATGAGATAGTGCCATGTTCAAATTTAAATAAGATTCACTTTTTTTCTTATATATAACGATGTGAGTGAGTGTTATTTTTTCTTAAAGTCTTGGTTCAAATAATTGTGCATTTAACATGTGTACATAATTAACAGTTAGAAAATATTTTGAACATGTATTATCTTGTAATCATCTTAGACTACTAAAAAATTAATAAAATGACTTATTTAACTGAATTAAATAAATTCGAGTTCATCTTTCAATTTCTTTTTAAATCAAGTAATAATTCAATCATATTTTTGGGTGTGGTTTAATTAGCTACAATTTTCAAGCATGTGAAAGTTAGGATTAGTCTTCATCTTTTTATGCAAATATCTTATGGAAGAGAAGGCATTTAGGTTGGGTCTTGGGACAACGCCGGAAAGTGGTGGGAATTAGATCTGTTTATTTTTGGAGTTATTGGATTTTTGCTTTAAATATTTATAGAAGTTTTCTATTAAAAATTTTTTATAGAAGTTTTCATTTGAATTTAATAATAAAATTTATTAATATTAATAATATGTTATGTTAAATAATAAAAAGTTATTACGTGATACACAGATAACAGATTGTATTAGATAACTTGTATTTTTTAATTCTAAAATCTAAAAAATTAAAATCCTAAATTTTAAATTTTATAGCATTAAATATAAATATCAAACCCCTAAAACTTAAAATAGAAAAAATTATTTAAACTAAAATTTACACAACTAATATATTAATTTCCTTTATAATAAAATGGATTTTTAAACTTAATTTGTTTATCGAATAGAGTTACTAATGTGGAGACCGAAAACTTGCATTAAATTTTTCATGATTTTCTTTAGGTATAAATCATGAACAATTTCCTGCATATCACCTTTTTTCTAGTGGGGAAAATATGTTTCAACTTGAGTAGAACACAGCAACCGAATATTTATTTGAGCTTGGACATAAACATCTTTGGTGAGCACAATTACAGGGGTCTTCATATCGGGTATCCGTATAATCATTATTTTTTTGTACACAATATTTTCAAGTACCAAACAATTGACCCATATTCTGGTCCATAATACTTAAATATCGTAAAATTTGAATACCCGCTAATTCTGATAATAGGCTATGCAATTCCTCTTTTTTTTCAAATTAAAATTAATTTTACAGTGAAACACATTAGCGGTATCACATGTACTTTAACAATCAATATGCAATTCAACGTCAAGCACTACTATATAATATAGCATACTCCATTTTGATAACAATATGTAATTCAACATAAGTAATATGTAATATAGCACAATACATGATGTTGATTGTTTAACAAGCGGTATGTAAATAGCAAGTCAATGCAGTGATATAAGTAAAAATAATCAGATAATAACCAATTTGATATTTTCCTAAGGCTAACACACTCCAACCAAATAATTTTGAACATCAAATAAATAAAAACCTAAGGCTAAGAATCATTCTGATATAATCTAAATATCAAACGTAGACTTTAAAAATTATATAATCAAACATAGACTTTAAAAGTTCAAATTACATAATTCAAATATAAAACTTAAAAATGTAAACAAAATGAAACTAAAGAAACATATTTCATTTTGTGTAGAATGGAACACCCTAGCGGTGGCAAAAACCCTAGCGAGGGGTTAAACCCTACTTTGACTATTTACGATAATACCGGTGGCAGCTTGTCGGAACCAGTGGAAAATATTGAGGCCCTGTCCGCCCTGGAAAGACCGGGATCTCTGTTGGCAGTAGAAGACCACCAGATTGCGAAGAAGTGTAAGAGTAGACATGCACAAAGTCGGATTTAAATCCGATCCGGATCGGATAAAAACCGATCCGGATCGGATAAAAACCGATCCGGTTTTTTCACCTAGCTAAAAATCCAGTTTATAAAAAAACTGGTTCGGATCCTAACCGGTTTGGAGGACCGGATGGTGTAACCGATTTCGGTTTGAAAAAAAACCGGATATAAAAAAACCGATTTTAATATTATTAAAATTACATCGTCATCAATTGCAACAAAGTTTACAATAATTGAAATACTTAAATACTTCTAAGCTCGATAAATTCAAATATTAACGACTAATTTTTTAAACCCATACCGTTATTTTTTCGGATAAAAAACCAGTTTTTTTCAAACCGATTGTCCAATTTTTTTCCAAACCGGTTATATTATCCGGTTTTAAAATATCTGATCCGATTTAAAAAAACCAATTTTTTCTAAATTCGGTTTCAGATATTTTTTACGTAAAATCGAATATTCAGGTTTTTTTTGCACCTCTAGGTAGGAGCGTGGAAAATATGATTGAACAATCAATTGTTACTTTGGACACAACGACTATGAAAGGAACAGAAACTGTTGTTAGCGTCCATGGCATGAAAGAAAGAAACCAGGGGGAGAACCATAACCACGTGGGAGAAAATAAGGTTTCTTATGCAACGGTTACTGCTACTCATTCTGCGGCTGAACCTTTAAGAAGTTTTGGTGAGGGTTTTGACTCGGACAACGTAGTTGTATCGGATGAGGATTGTCTGGTTGATGAATCGGGTCTAGGGGTGCACAAAAAATCCGAATATCCGAATATCCGAAAAAAATATCCGAAACCGGTTTTGGGAAAAATCGGTTTTTTTTAACCGGATCGGATTTTTTTAAACCGGTTATTTTAACCGGTTTGGAGAAAAAAACCTAGACCGGTTTTTTTACCGGATAAAAAACCGGTTTGAAAAAAACCGGTTTTTATCCGAAAAAAAAAACCGGTCTTGGTTTAAAAAACTAGCCGTTAATATAGCCGTTGGGGGGGTTTTGTGACCGTTTTTGACCGTTTTTTTCTTTAAAAAATTACCATTTTACCACCCTAAACATGTATAAATAGGTTGGGGATGTATTTGGTTGATTACAAATTCCTCAAATCTTATTACACAACACTTAAACATCTCTCAATTCTTACTTTTGTAATTTTTTGTTCATCATGAGTAACACGACTGAATCTTCCGTCGGGGGAAACCTTGAAGTCGTGAGAGTGATCGAACACACTCGAAACAAAGACATTTGGGATCACTACGATTTATGTGAGATGTCAATGGCTCGAGGAGGGCGCGTTGTAAACTTTGTCTAAAGTTTCTTGCATCGGAAGGAAACACAACGTTGAAGAACCATTTGACAAAATCATGCAAGGCACTTCGCTCAAGATCGGATCCTAGTCAATCGAATCTTACACCGCAAGGTGGTGTTTTTGTTTACGACAACGAAAAATTACGAGAAGCGTTTACAAAGTTCGTGATTACAAAAGCATTGCCGTTCGACCACTTTGATGATGAAGATTTCACGACAACAATTCAACAACTAATGCAACCACGTTATACTCAAGTAAGTCGTACTACCCTTAGAAGAGATGCTATAAAAATGTGGCGTACGGCGAGGGAAAAAATGATTTAGGATTCCAAGAACACCGTTATGGTGTGTCGCTTACATGTGACGTTTGGAGTTCCCCTCATAATACCGGAAATTCTTTTTTAGCCGTTACATCACATTGGTTAGATCAAGATAATTGGCAAATGATGAAAAGGACAATCGCGTTTGAATTATTCGGTGAGCCGCATACCGGTGTTAATTTATTTACACTTTTAAAAAGGGTAATTTGTCTTTATAAATTAGAAAATAAAGTTTTTATATCCTTTGATAATGCATCGAATAATACAAACGCGGTTCCAAGATTGAATATTACTTTCACGATTTTAGACGGTGCGTTTTTTTCATACCCGTTGCGTTGCACACATAATTAATATCCGTGCAAGCCGGTTGGAGGTTATTGAGCCGATTAGATTAGAATTCAAAACAATGATAAAATCGTTCTTTGTAACAACAACAAAAGACTAAATGATTATAAACGATTTGTAAGTCCGTTAATAAAAAG